TTCTCTTGCTGAGAACTACTGGGTTGAACAGAATATAGATATTGCAGTTATTGGATACATTATTCACATAACAGGGTTCTTCACATTTTCTATGATTTTCTTGATTTTCCTGCCTAACCTTTCTATCAGCTGCTGAGAAAAGGGGTTTAAAATATCTATGATTATGGGGTTATTTTATTTCTTCCTCTAATTCTGTCAGCTTTTGCTTCATAAGTCTTTTACTTTTTAAAAAACTTTATTGAGGTATAACTTGTGTGCCGTAAAGTTCATCCATTCAGTAATTTTTAAAGTAATTTGGTGAGTTGCGGTGCCTGGGTGGCTCAGTCGGTTGAGCATCCGACTTTGGCTCAGGTCATGATCTCGCGGTCCGTGAGTTCAAGAGCCTCGTCAGGCTCTGTGCTGACAGCTCAGAGCCTGGAGCCTGTTACCGATTCTGTGTCTCCCTGTCTCTCTGCCCCTCCCCCACTCATGCTCTGTCCGTCTCTGTCAAAAATAAACATTAAAAAAAATTTTTTTTAAGTAATTTGGTGAGTTGTGCAGCAATCATCATAATCTGGTTTTAAAGCATTTCTGTCACACTAGTAAGATCCCTTGTGTACCCAGCAATTAATCTCTGTTGCAAGCCCCAGGCCACCACTGATGTTTAATGTAATTATTGGTGTGGTTGAGTTTGGGGCTCCCATTTTATTATTTGTTTTCCATTTATCTCCCCTCAGTTTTTTATTCTTCTGTTCCTCCTCTGCTTTAAAGAAAAAAAAAAGTATTTTAATACATGTATATGTTGAGTATATGTACATATACTCATATGTTCATATATGCTTATATGAACAATTCCATTTTAATCTTCCTCTTAGTGTGCACTTGTGTGTGTATTGTGGTTTGGTTGTTTCTCTAGAGATTACAATATATAATCTTTACTTTTCACAGTCCACTTGCGATTAATAATGTCACTGTGCACATAAAACATAGCTTGTTACTGTACAGGCATATTCCTTCCGCCTACCCCCACCATACCTTGTCCTTATGCTGTAGTTGTTATATGTTTTACATTTATGCACATTATAAACCCCACAGGGCAATGTCAAAATTACTGTATTTTTTTTAATGTTTGTTTTTGAGAGAGAGAGGGAGTGGGCAAGGGACAGAGAGAGGGAGACAGAAAATCTGAAGCGGGCTCTGCGCTGAGAGCAGAGAGCCCGACGTGGGGCTTGAACTCGTGAACTGCGAGGTCACGACCTGAGCTGAGGTCGGACGTTTAACTGAATGAGCCTCCCAGGCGCCCCCAAAATTATTATTGATGCTCTTCACTCTGTCTTGAGGCTCTGGATTTCCATCTGGTATCATCTCCCTTCGGCCTGAAGAACTTCCTTTAGCCTTTGTTGCAGTGCAGGTCTGTAAATAATGAATTCTCTTTATTTTACCTTCATTCTTGAAGGATCTGTTTTGGACTCTAAGAGTTCTGCGTTGACAGTTTTTTCTTTTAGCACGTTGAAGATGTTGTTCCACTGTCTCTGGCCTCCGTAATATCTGATGAGAGAGCAGCTTCCAATTGAATCATTCTTTTGTAATGTGTCATCTTTCTGTAGATGTTTTTAAAATTTGCTTTTTACCTTTGGCTTGTAATGGTTTGACTGTGATGTGCCTTGGCTGGCCTTCTCTGTATTTATCCTACATGGTCTTTGTTGAGCATCTTGAATCTATAAATGTATATCTTTTACCCAATCAGGAAATATTTAGCCATTATTTTTTAAATGGCTTTTCTGCCCTATTCTCTCTCCTTCCTTCTGGGACTCCAGTTATATGTATGATATTTTCTAACAGTTCTCTGAGTATCTGTTAATTTTTTATTCCAATCTTCTTTTTCTTTATTCTTCTCATTGGGTAATTTTCATTGATTTGTCTTCAAATCCACTTTTTCTTTCTTCTGTCATCTCCGGTTCATTGTTAGGTCCATCTCGCATATTAATTTTTCAGTTCTGGAATTTCCATTTGATTCCTTTTTTTCTTATTTCTCTGCTGAGATGTCTTGGTTTTTTTCATTCATTGTGAGTATATTTGACTTTACTGAGGATAGTTAGAAGAGCTTCTTAAAAATTCTTACCTGCTAAAAAAAAAATTCTTGTCTGCTAATTTTAACATCTGCGTCATCTAAGGATCGGTGTTAGTTGTCTTAAGAATGTCTCCCATTTTCCTGGTTCTTCACACACATTGTAAGTTTGAGTGATATCTAGGACACTAAGGATGTAAAATTTGAGAGTCCTTGGGTTCTATTATTTTTTCTTCAGTGATTATCGTGTTTCTTGAACTTCAGCAGGCAGTTTTTCTTGGTTGGACTCCCAACTACCGATCCAACGACAGCCACTTGAATCTTGGGTCAGCCCTTTTGTCTGTAGCCGAGTTGCTGAGAGTGTATCCTGTGCATAATGTGCTCAGGAGTCAGGCAGAGATGAGGACAGACAGAGTCGGGGATACCTTCCCAGACTCATTCCCTTCTTGCCAGTAGACATGGCTTCCCAGATTCAGTTTTCTGGTTCCAAAACCAAACAGACTGCATTTGTTTCCCAGATAAAGGCTGTGAAACCATAAGGTTATTGTATACAACTGTCCTCCTTCGGGTACAGACTTCCCTGTGTTTATTCTCTTAACACTTTCAGGTAGCTTCTTTTATTTATAGTTCTCTGAGCTTTATATAGTTTTCTGGAGGAGTGTTGAAATCATAAGATTTTAGTCATTACTAGAGCCAGTCTTGAACTTTCATTTTAGTGAGGGAGTCAGACAATTAAAAAAAAATACAAATAAAACATTTATACTGTGATGAAACAGTTGTATCAGTTATCTATTGCTTTGTTACAAACCACCCCAAAACTGAGACTTAAATCAACTCTTGTTCATTGTAATTCATTCAACTGTGGGTTGGCTGAGGGTCACCTGATCCAGGCTGGACCTGGCTGAACTCGGGTGTTTCTGTTTCAGCTGACTCACTTGTATGTCTACAGGCTAGCTACACATTTTGTTCTAGCCTGGTCTTGTCTGGGGCACCTTAGTGAGAACAGCTCTCTTCCATGGGTCAGTCTCTCATCTTCTTCCTGGGGATGGTGGGCTACCCTGGGCTTATCTTTCTTATGGCGATGACAGAAACGAAGTGAGCGATTTCATAAGTCCTTGTTCAAGCTTCTGCTCATAACGTGTCCTCTAATATCCCACTGGCCAAAGCATTCAGATGGCTGAACTCAGAATCAAGGATAGGGAAGCTTGTCTCTTGATGGGAGGATCTGTAAAGGCATGGCGAAGAAGCCAGTATAGGCAGTGGTGAAGATCTGGGGCTTTTTATGCATCCTACCATAGCAGTAACAAGTGCCATTAAAAAAAAAAAAAAAAAAAAAAAAAAAAAAGGGCAGAATGACATAGTGTGTGTATATGTAGAAGGGCATGTATATGTGTGTAGATGTATATGTGCCTTTTTTATACAAAATTGGAATTAGCCTATAGATGGTAGTATAGCCTACTTATTCATTTAACGTGGTACGCACCATGCAGTAAACCTTTGCCAGCTCTTAGACCATGTTAGGCCATTTATAGTTTCTGTACCCCTCTCCGACTTAGTGACTGTTTCCTTTTTTTGTTTTTTTTTGTAAGTTTATTTATTTATTTTGAGAGAGAAGGAGCACAAGCACGGGAGGGGCAGGGATAGAGAGGGAGACAGACTCCCAAACAGGTTCCGTGCTGTCAGCGTAGAGCCTGACATGGGGCTTGAACTCCTGAACCGTGAGATCATGACCTGAGCCGAAATCAAGAGTTGGACACTTAACCGACTAAGCCACTCAGGTGCCCCGACTTTTACTTCTGAAAGCACTTTACGTGTGTTGTTTTATCCTTACGACAGCCCTATGAAATTGATGTTCTTACTGTCCCCACTTTACAGATGAGGAAACTGAGCTACACCGAGGCTAAGTGGCCTTAAGTCGTCCACTGCATGGTGGCAGAGACAGGATATGGAACTGGAAAGTTCATATCCTGCCTCAGTACCCTTCCTTGTGTATACTAATGGAAATATAAAAGATGGTGCCCACCCTCTGAATATTTCTGTAGAGAATGGCCTAACGGTAGAGTGTTGGGTCATAGGGTAAATGTCACACTTAAAGGAGTGTTTTCTCATTTGGTTGCCAATTGGCAGAACACTTCAAGGTTGTTGCTGAGCTAGTTTGCTCCTCCCACTGCCAGAGAGTAAAACGCCAGGCTGCCAGTGAACTTCTGGCAAGTGCAAGCACTTACTCGGTGAGCTTGGATAGGTACGAGAGCCAGGATTGGTGTGGTGTGAACCGTAGGGGCTGACAAACAGCTGGGCCAGGGAGCCAGCCCCCGAGAGCAGGCCGCAGCACGGGGCCCGTGTGAGCCAGGGCCCCTGGCCAGCTCCGGGCCCAGCTGTTACCACAGACAGCACAGGGCTCTGCAAATGATGGCCACTTCCCAAGCTGAGAGACAGGTGCACGTGCCGTTAGTGTGACTGTCCAGCCCGGCTCACACTAGGCTCCCTGGCCCCAGACACAGTTTGGATGACGAGGCGCAGCAGCGAGTGATTTCAAGGGATTGGCAGTTAGCCTCATGAAGAGGTGACCCTCTGAGCCGGGGGTTTTCAAAGTCTCTTGTCCTTTCTCCACTTCCGTTTTTATCATTGTGCCAGTCTTGGCCATGCGGGTGTTTATTTGATAACTTCCTACTTTGAAATGATGGGGAAAATGAATAGAGAGGAAGAGACATCTGGTTGAGTGTTCACTGCTAAGAGTTCTAGATCAAGGCTGGAATGGGACCGTGGGTAAATTGAGAATTTGCGATTTTCTCCAGGTCGTCTTCAGCGTAGCTGGTTGCCAGCGAGTGTACAAAACCGTACGTGGCTGTTTCTGCAGTCGTGGGGTTTGGTTGCCTAGGAGCATTCAAAATTTTATCTATGTCTATTATGTATTTTGTACCTAATACTTTTTTTTTTTCTTATTTTGCTTCAGGTTAGTAGCAAAGACGAAGATTTTCTTGACCTCTCTGTCGATGTGGAGCAGAATACATCTATTACCCACTGTCTGAGGTAACCTCATGAATTCTGACTGTGATCTGAGATTTGGATCAGACCGGTAAATAAGTTGGGGGGGGAAGGGGGGAGGCGGGGAATCCTGTATTTCCTCAGGAGGTAATCTTCCTTTCTGTTAAACCCATATAATCCTATTATTTTCTGTTTCTTCTTTCCCAAGAGAGATTAAAAATAAATATATGTGGTCTAGAGAAGGATCCTGCTGAGAAGAAAGAGGATCAAGTGGAAGTCATTAGTCATTAAGTTTAAAAATAAGTTTTAGTCTTTAACACAGATGTGGGCTTTCGGCTTTCATCAGTTTCTCTCTCTCTCCTCTTTGTCTCCTTGACACAATCACACAACTAATAAATGCTGCACATACCTACCATTACCCTTTTTTTTGCTTTTTGGTTTTTTTGTAAGCTAATATTAAAAATTATGTACTTTTGAGTGGAGACCCGGTGAGGGGAACTGCCTCTCCTCCACCTTTCGGCATTCTGTGGAGATCATTAATAGAAGGAATTCTTCCTTGTTAGGGTTGAGAGAAGGTACGAGCCTGGAATGCAGGAACAGCTCATGTCCAGGGTTCCATGCGTGTCGTGTATTGACTTGAACATTGGAAATGTGCCCAGAGTTGACACGGAGACACGATTCCCTTTTCCCTACTCCATCCCTTCTTTCCTGTCCTGTTTTCAGTAGGTCGGGAGGGCTTAGCAGCAGCCCAGCCCTGCTATAGCCACTAGGCATGGAGGAGTGAGTGGCAGACACATTCCGGGCCCTCACAGCACTTGCATCCTGGGGGGGATCCACAGGCAACGATTGGTGCCTCGAAGAAATTTAACAGGTCCACAGAGTGCGTGGTCATGGGGGTGCCAGTGTAGATAGACCTCGTGGTCAGGGCAGGCTTCCCCGTTGCTCAGGAGCCCAGAGCTCTGAGACATTTTATAGTGTCTAACGAGGCACTGTTGATTTTTACCAATGGTGATTGGGTGGCAGAGGTGTTAGTCCAGGTTACTTGGAACCTTTTAGAAGGATAGGTTAAGGGGACTCGCTGTGGTGGTTGGCTGTTAGAAAGTCATCTTGCGGGGCAAAGGCACCAACGTCAACATGGGAGAGTTTCTTGCTTCATCTGGGTTTCATGTTTTGTGTGAGCGGGTGGGGAGCTGATTGCTTTCTGATTTCCCAGGGCCCCAGGTTCCCCTCCGCTCCCCCATGAGTGACCAGTTACCCAGCACTTCCTGTTGGTGTGGCCCACCGGCCCTTGTGTCCAAGTGCCTTAGGCCCAGATGTCTAGGACAGGTGTGTTAACTCTTTATTTGCAAAGTGTTTTGTAGGCCAGGGTGGCCTCTTTCTTCTGAATGGTTCTGTTTATAGCATGGGTTCCTAATATTCCTGTGACAAGAAGCCATTTTTTATTTCCCCAAGGTCTTATGATCACAGGGAGTGGGGAAAGTTATGATTTTGCCAACGTCAGTTGCAGACAAAGGACTGGGAGGAAAGGTATCACTTGCCCATCCCGCCCCTTTTTATTTTTTTTACGTTTATTTATTTTTGAGAGGGAGAGAGACCACAAGCAGGGAAGGTGCAGAGAGAGAGGGAAACACAGAAACCGAAGCAGGTTCCAGCCTCTGGGCTGTCACCACAGAATCAGGGCTGTCAAACCTACAAACCCTGAGATCATGACTTGAGCCCAAGTCAGACGCTTAACCACCTGAGCCACCCAGGCGCCCCTCATTCCCCGCCTCTTTTTTTTTTTTTTTTTTTAAACAAGTGGGCGTTAGGGAGCATTTGGAGTTAGATTGACTGCTTCCCCTTCCTTCTTAGAAATTCCTGGGCTGCTCAAAAGGGCAGATGGCAGTGGCTGTAGCTTTGAGATCTCAGTCAACCAGCTAGAGGAGGGCTAACTTGTTATAATTTTAATCTTTGGGGAACCTTGTTATAAAGAAATGTAACCCAGATTTACGTTTCTATTATTACCATTATTATTTTGAGAAATGTATATGTTAGTCATGCATACCTGATGTAGAGGTGTTTGGAGACGTTAAAGCTGGGATGGATGAGCATGAAATAGCTTCAGAATGCCTTTTTAAACATTAGATTCCCATCCGATTGGGCTTTCCGGGCTGATATTCCCGAATTGCCTGCCCTGCCGCCATTTTACATCATCCCTAAACTAGACCTTGACTGACTTCCCCACACCTGCCCTCACACAGGCAGGTCTGACATCACCCCCACGACAGGAAGACAGGCCCTGCCACGCCCACCCTCCCCTACCCTCCCCCTCCCCCTCCCCCTCCCGGAGAGTATTGTGCTGGGAGTGGCGGCTTTCTCACCTGCCCCAGAGGAGTGAAGCCGGGAGCCAAGGCCCCAGGGGAATAAATGATACCAGCTGATCGTTAGCATTTTCTGTCTGAGACAAGGGAGAAGGAATGATTACAGATCTTGATCTTTTGGGCCCCATTCATGGTTTAATTTCGTTTGCATTCTTAAAGGTTTGTTTTTAAAATTAGAACTATGAGTTTTCTTTTTATGTTTGCACCTCTTCTGATATTTTATCTTTCCTTCATTTTGACGGCCAAAAAAAAGAGTTAAAAATCAAGCTAAAATTGTAGGACTTTTTTTTAATGTTTGTTTATTTTTGAGAGAGAGAGAGAGCGCGCGCGCGCGCGCGCATGCGTGGGGGAGGGGCAGCGAGCGAAGGGGACCGAGGCTCTGAAGTGGGCTCTGTGCTCTCAGCTGGGAGCTCCACTTGGGGGAGGGGGGGCTTGAACCCAGGAGCTGTGAGATCATGACCTGATCCGAAGTAAGACCCCTAAAATTATAGGATTTGAATGTAGGGCCTTTGCCACCTCCTTTCAAGGGACTTTAGATGACCGATTACAGTGTGTTTTCACTGCTTTTGTTGCAGAGAAATGATGAAATAAATAGTGGTTCTATTCAGGGTACAGGCCTACGGAAGCCATTAAATCCATACTGTAACTGACCTATATTCCAACTATTTCATATGTCAGTGCCTTGTCTTAGGCCCGGGGAGCCTTCAGTATCAGAAGTGAATACCAAGATAGTTTTTTCTTCTTTTGAAAAGTTCAGGGATGGCCTCAGGCAAAAACTTCAAATACGTGACGTTTATCTTAATTACCCTTCTATGGCCTTTTGGGTAGTTTTTGTCTTTCACTTCAGTGCCTTAGTCTCCCCTGTGGCTCCTTTACAGAAACCTTCTCGAAACATTCCACTCTCTGAAGCACCTTTTTTCCCTTCCCCTGTCCTCCTCTCATATTAAATGTCCGTTCTTCCAGTGCTGCCGAGGTCAGCTGGGAGGAAAGTAGCTTTTCATTCTCCCGTAGCTGTTTTAAAAATGTATCCTCTCTAAAACGAATTATTTTTCTACTTCTTTTGGAAAATTTCTTTTAAGTACTAAGTCCATAGATCTCCTGTCCCCACCACACATCCATTGCTGCATGCTTGTTTATTGGTTTCTCTGTTTTGTTTCTCTGACCTGTATTGGGTTATTACTGATATAAAGTATTTTCTAATAGTTGACATCTAAGTGTTTCTTGTGGATTTCTTTTGTCAGTCTTCTTTAATACTCTGTTCATTGGTTCTCAAACTTTGGTGTGTATGAAAATCACCTTGGGGAAGTTTATAAAAATAGGGGCCTAGCCAGTATTCAACTTCAGTGAACCCAGGCCTCTCTCTCTCCCTCTTTTTTTTTTTTTTTTTTTTCCTTTTCAGAGCCAGGGCCCAACAATGATTTATTTGTTTTGGGCATCATATTCTTTTTTTTTTTTTTTTTTTTTTTAATTTTTTAATTTTAATTCCAGTATAGTTCACATCTAGTATTATATTAGTTTCGGGTGTACAATATAGTGACTAAGCAATTACACAACACCCAGTGCTCATCACAACACTTGCACTCCTTAACCCCCATCACCTATTTCACCCAGCCCCCCACCAACCTCCCCTTAGTAACCATCAGTTTGTTCTCTGTAGTTGTGTCTTTTTTTCCTTCCTTTGTTTTGAGTGAAATCATGTGGTATTTGTCTTTTTTGACTTACTTCGCTTAGCATAATACACTCTAGCTCCATCCATGTTGTTGCAAATGGCAAGATTTCACTCTTTTTTATGGCTGAATAATATTTATGGCAGAAATACACACACACACACACACACACACACACACACACACCCCATATCTTCTTTATCCTTCATCAATCGTTGGACCCTTAGGCTGCTCCCATAATTTGGCCCTGGCCATATTCAACTTCAGTGAGCCTTGGCCACTATTTTTAATTAATTTTCTTGGTGATCCTAATACCACCAAAGTTTGAGATCTGCTGCTCTAAATCTTTGCTACTCAGACAGTGGTCTGTGGGCTAGCACCATTGACATCACCTGGGATCTCATTAGAACAGCATCTCAGGTCTCCCCCAAGAATGAATGAATGAACCAGAATCTGCATTTTGACAGGATCTCCATGTGATTCAAGTGCATGTTAAGGTATACAAAGTACAGAGCACAGTGGCTCTCAGACTTCGAAGCATATTCTTAAAGGGAAACTTTAAGAACAATAATGCCTGGATTCTACCTGGAGAGATTCTGGTGTAATCAAGTGGGGGCCAGGGGGAGGAATTAGGCATTGACTGTGTTTCGAAAGCTCCCCGGGTAACTCTAATGGGCAGCCCAGAGAACCGCTGATGTTGCCGATGTCAACCCCAGAACAAAGTTTCCCAGCTGGTGTGCACCAGGAAATAGGTTACAGGTGTGGATTGATCCCCTTGGCTCCTGGGAGGTCAGGCACAGCCTGGAGCTGCTCTGGGCTAACTCTTCTACAGGGTAACCTTTTCTGTGGGGATCATGACAGGACACTTATCGGGAAGTGTTGTTTGAGAATTAAAAAAAAAAAAAAATCAATTTCTGAACTATTGCATTGAGTGGAAAAGTTAAGACTGTACTAAAAAACGTGTCAAACATGGACATAATCTTGGACACAACGGCTGTCTTTACAACAGTCTTTCCACCCGGAAACATAGTCTTTCTTCAGGTTTTCAAGTTTTCTTTCATATATTTTTCTAGAATTTCATAGTTTTCTTTATAAAGACTTCTATTTCTTACTAGATTCATTTCCAAAGTGTATTTCTGAACGATGTTTTATTGCTATTGTAACTCTTTGTAAAGAAATACAGAGTTTTGTGCTTTCCCCTAACCTTACCTCTGTGCTTTGGTCATTTATCCTGAGCATCAGAAAGGCCTCTCTCCTCTCTCCCTCCTCTTTGACTTTCTCCTTGAAAGGTTTCCTCACCCCTTGTTGCCTGCTTTGATTCCAACAACTGTACAGCCTCTATTGACAGACCTGCTCTGCCTCCGAGTCTCCTGCTGGGGTCAGCCCTTTTCCCTGATGTAGCCTCATTTTCCACTTCTCAACTCACAGATGCCCCGGAAGCATTGCCCTGTGTCTCGTGGCAGTAAGCCCCCAGCCAGCCGGGGTGTGGCAGGATGGAGGTGAATTTTAAATCAGGTCTTTATGTTAAGTACTAACTTTTGCTATATTTCCACTCGTGTGGGTCTGCAATCACCTCAGAAAACTTTCTTTGAAAAGTAAGAGTAGAAAGTATTTAATTCCTTATTCACTGCTGTGCTTGCCTTGGTTATTTTGGCTCTTGAGCTGGATAAAGAGCCGTATCTGTGGTAGAAATCCCATGGATATGAACCTCCACCATCACCCACCCATACTCTCCTCCCCCCCTCCCTTGTCTCCCCCAGCCCCATTCCACCCCAACCCTGTGCAGGCCACGAAAGGATTTCACATCAGTTACTTCATTAAAGAGTTAGTCTGGGGGCGCCTGAGTGGCTCCTTTGGTTGAGCATCAGACTCTTGACCTCGGCTCAAGTCATGACCTCACGGTTCGTGAGTTTGAGCCCCACGCCGGGCTCTGCGCTGACAGTGCAGAGCCTGCTGGGGATTCTCTCTTCCTCTCTCTGCCCCTCCCCTCCTCATGCTCGCTCTCACACTCTCTCCAAATAAATACATAAACTTAAAAAATATAAAATAAAAAGGAGTTAGCCTGTGTTCATTCAGTTGTGAGTCTGTATTACGCACCGAGCAGCTGAGATCGGAGATTTGAGTATAATTGTCTTCTAAATCCTTTTCTTGCCTCTCAACACCTCCTGTCCTTCCTCTGTAGTGCTGCCAGAAATGGTTACTCTAGAAAGCACCGTCTGGTTACATCTTTTCCTTGCTGAGCCCCATCAGTGGATTTCCAGAGTCACAGGGTCCACACCAGCTTCTAAGGCACACCCACACCTTGCTTCCGTCTCCCTATGCTGGAGCGTTCCCTCTGTCTGGAATGCTTGCCTCTTACCCACCTGCACACTTTCCTTCTTCGAGAGCCTGACTTCCACATCACCGCTTGGAAACAACTCACATTACCCCAAGTTCATTTCTCCCTCCTCTGTGCTTTCCCCTGGACTTTATACACGTGCTTCTGTCTTCACTCAGCCAGCAAATATTATGGAATGCTGTGCTGCATTGGTCCTCTTCATGGTGCTGGGGCTGCGGCAGTGAGTGAGACAGAGTCATTGCCCACATAGAGGGAAGGCATGTAATCAAATAGGAGGATGGTTTCAGATAAGGGTAAGTGCTCAGAAGAAAACAAGACTGCAAACCAGATAGAGGCTGAGTGGGTTTGGAGAAGGTGGACAAAGAAGTCTCCCAGGAGGTGACATTTGTGCTGAGCTCTGAGCAATGAGCAGAGGCAGCCATGGAAGCATCTGGAAATGAGCTGTTAGTGCAGAGGAAGCAGCACCTGCAGAAGCCCTGAAGCAGAAAGGGTATGGCATTCTGGAGGGACAGGAGAAAGCTGCTGGTGTGGCCTAAGCTGGGTGAAGGAGGTGAGGCAGGGTAGGAGATGAGGTCAAAACAGCTAGGGGTATGGGGACTGAGGGCCTACTGGCCATGGCAAAGAATTCAAGTTTCATTCTGAATTGCACTAAGGAATTGTTGAAGCATTTTAGGCAGGAGAATTGTATGAAATTATTATTTTTTCTTTTTTGAGAGAGAGATGGGGGGGGGAGAGAGAGAGAGAGAGAGAGAGAGAGATACCACAAGTGTGGAGCCTGACTTGGGGCTTGATCTCACAAACTGTGAGATCATGACCTGAGCCAAAATCAAGAGTCTGACACTTAACCAGGTGCCCCTGAAATGATTTTTCTTTTTTAATGTTTACTTATTTTTGAGAGAGAGAGAATGAGTGGGGGAGGGACAGAGAGAGAGGGAGAGAAAATCTGAAGCAGACTCTTTGATGACTGCAGAGAGCCTGACACAGAGCTTGAACTCGCAAACCTTGGGATCATGACCTGAGCTGAAGTCGGACACTTACCTGACTGAGCCACCCAGGCGCCCCTGAAATGACTTGTTGACCTGCGCTGAACACTTAGGCGGCTCGCTCGCACGTGTGCGTGTTAGACTGTGAGCAGTGTGAGGGCAGGTGCCTCTGTGAACCCCTAGCACCAAGCCCAGAGTGCTGTCAGTAAACATTTGAGTAGTGAATAAATGAGCAATCTATGTTTTCTTTTGGTAAGCTCTGTTTATGTGTGTGAGTCCATAACACCATGTAAATAACACTTTCTGTTTAATAAAATCTGATCATTCTGGTGCTAGGATACTCCCTATGAATAAAGAAACATCACAGGCTTTCTCAAGACTCTAGGGTATTATTATATTCTGGATGTTCTTCTCAGCCTTTGAAGAGGCACCACAGGAATGTTAAGTAGAATCTCAATGACCAGAAAAGAATGAAAAGCCATGACATTTAAAAAATGAAAACTTATAAGTAGTGCAGTAAGTCTCATGATAGGGGTGAATACAGATATAACATCACAATGACATTTGTTCTCAAAAGGAGCCGGGGTCGGGGGGCGGGGGCGCGGGGGATTGTAGAAAGCTGGCATCTCCTGCTAATTTGGGATTTTCTTAGTTCAATATAAGGGCAGTTGTATGTGATTTAAATTTCATTATCTTTACTTTCGTGATCTTAGAAAATACAGACTCCTGAGATACCCTGTTTTTCATTAACTACACAATAATGTCACCTTGCATTTTATGTGATTGAGGTTTTTGGACCTGACTTACAGTGTAATGATGGACGTTTACAATAGTATTTTCTGTTATAATTTTTAATCTCCAATTTATAGGTAGTCTTGTTAAAACTTGGTATTTTTTTTAATCAGTTGGAAACTCTATATCTATTTGTGTCTCACTTAATAAAGCTATCCTTGGAAATCTCCAAAGGTGAAACCATAACCCAGTCCAGCAGACATGCTGTAATGGCAATCATAGCCCCTACTCATAAGAAAAGTCTTTTCTCAGTACTTCTTTCCCTGCATTCACTTAAAAATTACCCTGCAGGTGATAAAGGGTTTAAAACATGGTGTATACTAAGTACATTTTGGACAGTTTTTTGAGTTGAAAATATTTTTCTCTGCAGAGACTTCAGCAACACAGAAACACTGTGTAGTGAACAGAAATATTATTGTGAAACGTGCTGCAGCAAACAGGAGGCCCAGAAAAGGTGTGTAAAAGGGTTTAGCCCAGAGGGTGGCTTGGTTTTGAGGGAAGGAACCATACCTGATTTTGAATCCCAGTTCTGTGGGCTCGTGGCCAAGTAGCTTTGAAGAAGTCAATTGCCTTCCTCCCTGAATAAACTAGGATAAGAGTGCCTGCCTTAGAAAGTTGTCCATTTGTCTGATCGTTTGATCATTTGTTCATTCATTCGTTCAGCAAATATTTATTGTGTGCTGTGTATCAGATACTATGCTGGATAAATGAGTGGTGGTCAGATATAATTATTATTTTCTTGTGACTAAAGACAGACTATAAAAAGGATTTAGCATAGAGTATAACACATAGTAGATATCTAGTAGAATTGTTACTTCATATTGGAACTTCTTATTTAGAGGCACAAGAGGTTTAAAAAGTTAATGATTTAATGTGGAAACATGAGGAAATCAATAACACATCAGTTGCATGGATAGGTGATAAGAAGCATCACATTCTGAATTGATACAGGATCCATGGTTGCCTTTTTACCAGCACCGGCAAGTTAGAGCCCCTGGACAATGTATGCGAATCAGTGATTCTCTGTTATCCGTCCCCGGAAGCCAAGAAACTTGACATTTTAATTATCCTGTGAAGTCTTACTATGAATTGAATTTACTCTGCCCATGGTTGTGGAATATTCAGAATAGCTCACAGAAGCTCATTACCGCCATCTAAAACCTTCAGGGGTCTTGAGCTGAGGTTGAAATCATTTCTTTGCTCAGCCTTCCCTGCTCTTCCCCCCCCTAGACATGCACATCTTTCCTTGCTGCATCAAAACTTACAAAAGGTGACTCCTTGTGGCAGATGGGAGTGGAGTGATAGCTGGTTAATTTTTGTGAGTCATCAGGGGAGCTCACTTCTCCCTGTCCTTACAATCTCCGTCAACCCAAGGCCAGCCCAGGCCTTCCTATATGGCATGAAGGCATGTTCATTAAAATACTGTGTGTTCCTGTAAAATATCAGGCTTCCCATGATTCTTCTGTTTCTGCAGACGTTATTTTGCTTATTTTTACAAACAGGGTTTTACCTCAATAGATTCCTGAACAACAGTCTCTTAAAATTTGTCCTTTTCAAATAATATGCATTGAAAATGTGTGCATGCTGAACAGCATTGACACTGACTCAGGGCATTCCTAGAATGGGGGTCCCGGAAGGGGACCAAAGATCTCTATTCCAGCAGAGTTGTCTCCATAAACTATTGTTTTTATGAATTTTTTTTTTTACCAAGGAATATTAATGGTCACCTAGTGAAAAAAGATTTCTGTGTTCATGTAAGTTTGGGAAATGCTACATCAGACAAAAGAGAACAGTTCCTTTACTGTAGGATTTCTCAGAACCTCTCTGCCAGTGCACGGGGAGGAACTTTGAAATAGAAAGTAGCTGTCCAAACTTGGCCCCAGGAACCCCGCCTCTGCTGATGTCTCCAGTGCTCCACAAGCCCGGTTTGGGAAGTGTGGCCCTTAAGCCAACCCCTACATTTTACGAGTGGGGAAACCAAGAGCTAGACGAGGGGAAGGACCGACACAAGCGTGAGTGAGCGTGAGCCCAGCGTGCTTGGTTTCCCCAAGCGCCCCCCCGTGGTCCTCAGACCCCAGAAGTCCATACCACAGCCTTCTGCTTGTCCTCTTCCCAAAAGTGGTCACCCCTCCTCTCCATTATCTCCAGGTGGGGTGGAGGGGGGGTGTGGCTGTCCAAATATTGTTCCTTTCTGGAAGGCAGGGGGCAGTAGTGGAGAGCAGTTGCACACCGTATTTGCATTGGTACAAAACTTCAGGACTGTCTCCTTTGGCCAGAGAGAAACAGAGCTGCTGTTGCCCTCCTCTTCTGCTGGCTGTGCCCGGTTAGCCGAGCAAGCAGGTTAACCGAGCAAGCAGGTTAACCAGCTGTATGTGTGCAAGCATCCTTTTATTCTTACGGGCCGTGTGGTTACTTGCCGACCTGAAGTCTGTCAGACCCCTTCTGCTCTCCGTTTGTGGGGCAGCAGTGTATTCTGCCCCCCAACAGCTCTTAGGGGGTACAACTTCTTTTCTATTTCGTGGTTTCTTAGGATGAGAGTAAAAAAGCTGCCCATGATTTTGGCCCTGCACCTAAAGCGGTTCAAGTACATGGAACAGCTGCACAGGTACACCAAGCTGTCTTACCGGGTGGTCTTCCCGCTGGAGCTCCGGCTCTTCAACACCTCCAGCGACGCCGTGAACCTGGACCGCATGTACGACCTGGTCGCTGTGGTGGTTCACTGTGGCAGGTGAGGGCAGGCGGAAAAGCGGGGCGCACGGCGGGGTGCACGCGGGAAGGGTGCCGAAACAGAGGCAGCTATGCCTTTCCTGGGCTGTGAGACTCCGTAGTAATGGGACTTCTGAGAATGTCTTCCAGGCTCTTATCTATCATCTCAAAATGAATCCAAAATGTACTCTTCAAGATATTCTTCATGCAGTTTTTAGCCCAACCAGAAAAAAAAGAATAAGAGAGAAGGCTCTAGATACGGAGAAGAAAAGTGTTTTGCTGAAAGTCCTTTGAGCAGATATTTTTTTCTTCCATAGCTATAGATACAAGCATGGAAAAGTCCACTGAAAATACACCTGTTTGTTATCCTTTGCTCAGCTGGAAGAGATTTGTGTTCTGTCGTTCCCCTGCCCTTCTGGGTTTTAGGTAGGGGTGTGTCACTGAGCACGATTATTTTCCTCTCCATCTGCCTGGATTGGATTTTGGTGCACAGACCATAACAAGAGGATGCATGGTTCCACGCAGAGGAGTAGACTGATTTCCTTTTCCCCCTGCACGGCGGTGGATGCTTCGCCTCTGAAGCACCTTATTTGTCCCATGCAGAACGGACTTGAAGTCACAGGATCCTTTCTTACATTCCCAGTGTTCTGTGTTTTGGTCGGTTATAAGCCAGCTCTGTGGTTTCCTGAAGAGGAATTCCACCAGTTATTTTTCTAAAGAACACACGAGGCTCGTGATCTGGAAACTAGCTGTGAATGTTGGGTGGGACCTCGTGGCAGGAACTTAGGGCTGGCAGAGCCTGGTACCTGGAGGGCATTGTGGCCGAGGTGGGCAGTGGGCTGATGTGGGCAGGTGATGGGGAGACAGAAGGTGCTCAGAAGTATATACACGTTTTCAGTACGGATCTCTGTGGGTGATGACTAATCCCTAGAGCATTGGTGAGGATAAGGATGCGACCCCTATAGGGGACCTGGAGGACAAGTGAGGTTGGGTTGCAGAATAGTGACTTTCTGTAATGAGGGCTCAAGGTCAGAGCGGCCCTGGCAGCAAGGGCCAACTGGTGCCGAGTCACACGTGCTACTAACTAGCATTCATTAAATTCTTCCCCACTAGAGACAGGACTGTCCTCCTACACAGAGCAGGGCTGGCCTTGCACATGGGGATCAGGTGGCTCTGGGCCGTGGACGCTGGGGATCTCCGAGGCTGGGGAGCTGAGCGTTCCCTCATCCACGCCAGGACCTCCTGCCCCATGGATGCAGCTGGTGCGGTCTCATTCTCTGATTTCGACTGCAGTTATTCTTTGAACCCTTGTTTCTTGGGTTCGTAGCAGAGTCTGAAGGTACAGCAGTGATGAAGATCCACGGGCCCTGTTCTCACGAAGCTGAGCCTCTGGCGAGAAAGACAGATAATTAGCAAGTAAGCACACCGCCTGTCAGCACCAAAACAAAAGCACTGGGAGATGACTTCGAGTTTGAGGAACGCTATGAGGAATGAACAGGCGCTGAGAGAGAGCAGTTGAAGGTTCCTCTTCAGGGATGGGGACTGGTGAAGCGAAGCTACCAAGGTGACATTGGGGCTGAGGCCTAAGGGCTAAAATGAGCCCGGAAGGCCCACATCGGAAGAGGATCATTTCGGGCAGAGTGTCTCAAGGGCAGAGGCCCGCCGTGTGAAGAAGCGGTGTGCGAGAACGGGAAACCAGGGGTCCAGAGCCCAGGGAGGGGAGAGAGTGGCTGGATGGCGTCGGAGAAAGGCAGGAACGGTTCGCGTGGCTCGTCTTGTATTTAAAGAAAGCGGACAGGGTCACCTGGCTGGTTCAGTCAGTACAGCATGTGACTCTTGGTCTTTGGGTTCTGAGTCGAGCCCCACATTGGGCACAGAGGTTACTTAAAAAAAAAAAAAAAAAAAAAAAAAAAAACAAAGGCAAATTTGGCTTTTGAACTTTAGTGGTACACTGCAAAAACAAAACGGAACTCTAGATTTGGGGTTAAATTCCCTCAGTCGTGCAGATCTAACTAATAGTAAGAGCTGTGTAGTTCCACTTTTTCCCATATTATGTGATACATACCTTTTCCTTTGAGCACGTGTTATTCTATATTATAGTTTAACATATTTCTAAAACTTAGATGATGCCACTCCTCAGAGTTCCCCAGTGTCTTCCTGACTGACTCACCACGGAGTCCAAAATCCAAACCATGATACCCCGCGCCCCACCTCTGTGGCCTCCTTCCTCCCCTCCCCCTGGCTCACTGGGCTCAGGCTTCCTTGCTCTTCAGTGAACCCCGCAGGAACCCCCCCACCCCCCACCCCTGCCATGCCCAGTACCTTTGCACCTGCTGTAAACTTCCATCACATGGTCACATGGCTCGTCACCATCACCTCGTCTCTCAGGGAAAGTTCCTTCTGCTCAGATCTTGGGTTAGCAGAGGACTGTCACCATTGTGTATCAAATAGTACTTCCCTCTGTCACTCACCATGCTTTACTCTGCTTTATGTTTCATGGCACTTTTTTTTTTTTTTTAAAGTTTATTTATTTATTTTGAGAGAGAGCAAGCGAGAGGGAGGGGGTAGGGGCAGAGAGAGAAGGAGGGAGAGAATCCCAGACAGGCTCTGCGTTGACTGTCCGTGCAGAGCCCGACGCGGGGCTCAAACTCATGAACTGTGAGATGGTGACCTGAGTCAAAATCAAGAGGCAGACACTAGACTGACTGAGGCACCCAGGTGCGCCTTCATCACACTTAGTATACATTGAAATCTATTTTAGTTTGTTCAGTGCCTCTCCAGCCCTCATCCCAAGAAAGTGGGGACACTGTTTTCTTCACTGCTTTTTTGTCTGACGGCCAGAAGAGGGTCTGGCACATAGTAGGTGTATGGTAATTATTCATTTATATTTGTTGAATTTGAATATCTGCTTTCCCCACTGGACCGTGGGTCTTTAGAAGCCTGACTTTTTTGCATCTTTGCAGAAGATTCCTTTATGCTCACCACAGCACCACCACGTGGGTCTTCCTCCATAAATTGTGGCCAAATAAATGTGGATATAGACGTGACCTATACCCATTCTCCTGCTGAGAGAGGTTGTTCAGGTAGATCACTGCCTAAAAAGAAGTACCTAGTTTTTGAAAGAAGTTAATGTTAACTTGATAACTTGTGTTTGTTCTTTTCCAGTGGTCCTAATCGTGGGCATTATATTACTATTGTGAAGAGTCATGGCTTCTGGCTTTTGTTTGATGATGACATTGTAGAGGTTGGTATGCAGATTACTCTATAATGGGGCTGCAGCATAGACTGTATTTGGGGGAACGTGTATGTGCGGACATTTCCTAAAATAGGCCTGTTTTCCCATAACCTGGCTTAAAAACCATTTACATTTCTCTCAAGACTAAATTCTGCTGTTCTTTATTCTCTATAGAAAGGGAGAAAGGGGTGTGACTGGGGACTAATGAGTTAACTGCGTTCTTGTTAACTGATGAGCCATAGATGTGGGATCTCTTTGTCCCCTGAAACCGTATTCATATGTAAGTCTCATTTTCCACTGTGACTAAAGCCCTCTCTACTACAGACCAAATAATAAACTCTTTATTTTCATTTTTTAAATTTTTAATTTTTTTAAATGTTTATTTATTTTGGAGAGAGAGACAGACAGGGTGCGAGCAGGGGAGGGGCAGAGGGAGAGGGAGACACAGAATCCGGCTCCAGGCTCCGAGCTGTCAGCACACAGCCCAATAATAAACTTAATAAAAAGCTCTGTAAGCACTCTTTCATTATGCCAGATTCTTCTTGTATGGATTGATATTTAAAAATATGTTTTCCGTCTGTTGGACCTGGAAATCTTTATGTTACACTCAAGTGTTCCCATATATTGATTCTGTTGTAAAGGAATACTAGCCGGAGAGAATTCCACACTCAGACAAGGTCCGTTTTAGCTCAGAGGGTGACACTAATGGGAATGAAGTCTGACGACCTGCAAGAATTAAGGTTATTCCCCAGACCCCCCAGTTTACCATTTGAAAGACGGGCGTCCTGGCTGCTTCAAAGCATGCCCACATATGTTTGCCGATAGCTTGAAGGCCGGCCTCCCTCCTCCAGGATTTGCAATGTATGGTAATCATGCCCCATTGCCAGGTCTGTGGAATTAGCTGTTTGCTGTTGAAAGTTCCCAGTTGTGATTTTGTAGCAAACAGTGTTTGCTTCAGTCTTCTTGTTCATTCCATTTGTTCTTCTTCCCTTCTCTCAGTCATCCCATTAAACAGTTGTATCGTTTTCTTTCTCTTATTGCAGAAAATAGATGCCCAAGCTATTGAAGAATTCTATGGCCTGACGTCAGATATATCAAAAAATTCAGAGTCCGGATATATTTTATTCTATCAGTCAAGAGAATAACTTGAAGAACTGTGGGACGAGTTCACATGGGGGGAACTGTTCACGGCACTATTCCCTGGTTTCTCTGCAGACTTTCCTCCCCAGTGGCCCCGCCAGTGGTACTATGCCAAGTGTAATGGTCTGGCTGGGTTAGACTTTCTCTCCCTTTGGTTTTTTACATGCAGCACTACTTGTGGTTTTATTTTAGTCTGAGGTAGAGTTAACTGCAATCAGATTGTAGTAAGATTTGTATGAGTAACAGTTGCTAATTTTAGGATTGGGGAAACGCTACGCCACCGGCTACGTCTGGCTCAATTAGAGTGACATTTCCTACGGGAAGGTCTACAGTCTGTTTTGGGTCCCTGCTAAACGTCCCAAGTGGCTTCCGGGATCTCATGTCAATGCATTCCTTTAACTTGTCCCGGGAAGCACTGCTACCCACTTGTAGCTTCTCTGCCTCTTTTCTGACGCAAGGACAGAATCGGGTAGAAGTTCACCTGTTAGGGCTGCAGCTATAGCTTTAAGTTTGTGCAAGTGAAAACGTTTAAAAGTGAGTAACCTCAATACTAAAATCATCCTCCAGGTGGCACAGGGTGGAGAGAAGCTGTTCACGGTGGCTAGCGCCTGCCTGGGGCTGTGTTCCCCTCGCCGCCCGCCGCCGTTAGGACCCCAGAGGCTAAGAAGGCACGGAGCTCAGGGCAGGCAGAGCCCAGAGGAGGACGCTTTTGTGGACAGTGAAAACTTAACTTTTCTTACCTTTCTACCAAAACCACGTTTCAGGAAGATACCCCTACGCCATTTGTTTTTAGTGATGCTCTACTTCCGTAAGGTCCTGTGAGTTGTATCTGTCCTTTATCTGGCGCTGCTAAGCTTTCCAAGGCATCCGCCCGGGCCGGCTGGTGTTCTGCAGGCTGTGGCCGCAGGGCTGAGCTACCGTGGTGACTGCTTCCGGCACAGCTCTCCTTAGCCAGTCAGTACCCACCACCTTCTCGGTCAGGAAGGACCCAGACACTGCCGTGTCACCACCATTGGCCGCATTGTACAGCTGTTCACCTTTTAACATTTCAGTCTGTTGACTGAGGCGCTGGCGAGTCCCAGGACTAATAAGGAACCTTCCCTAGAGGGACCACTGGAGTCAGCTGGGGGTGAAGGTGGGTCAAAGGAAGTGGGAGCGGGTGGGCGGAGGAATGAACAAAATGGCAACTTTTCTTTGGCTCAGACTCCTAGAACGCTTGACAAGACCGTTTTGTGGAAGAACCTCATCTCACTGTAGTTACTTTTACTTTTTTCACCTTTGTTATGTATGTATTTATTAGATCACTTGAGTATTGGTACCTTTTATTAAAAGGGTCAATTTGGCGTTCTGCTGTTGAGCTGGTTTTTGGATTCTTACAAATACTATGAGGCATAGATCTCGGCTTCCTTTGGGAAGTCGGTTGACTTCCACACACTTCTAAGATACTGTGAACATACTATTTTGTTACCTAATAAATCAGCGAATGAACATGCAAATGTTTGGCATAATGTGAACTCAAATTGAAATTGGAAATGTTAGCAGCCATTTTGTAACAATTAAGAGCATAGCACTTTATCTAGATGAAAACTGGATTTCTTGTCTTTAAGATATCTTGAACTGTTTATTGCTCAGAACTTAAAAAAGCATGCCAACACTTCATTTGTTCATGCTTGAAGTGAAATGTTTTACTTTTCACTGGAGAAGACAAAAACAGGGTGATCTTCATGTTATTTTATACAAGTGATGAAAATATACCTTGCCTTATTTAGAGGCAAATTCATATTTATAAATATTTTGTCTTTTTTTTTTTTTTCTCATGAAACATATGCAGTAATCACTTACCTGCAAGGTGAGTATTTATTCCGTTTTTAAGAGGAGACACTTTGCAATTGAAGGCAACTGATCCGAGGAACTGTTTGTACTATATATAACCCATACATTTGACTGTAGGTTGCAAAGTTTTTTTTTAAAAAATGATGGTTCATATCTAATATATTTGGAGCTGGTTCATAAGAAAAACTATTAAAATTATCTTTGGAATGACTCTTGAGGCTAATTTGTTAGAGAAAGAAAGTTTCAATTGGAAGCCTACAGAGGTAACATCTAAATGCTAAGTCACAGATTCACTACTGTTTTTGTTTGTTGGTTTGTTTGTTTGTTTGGATTTTTTTGTTTGGTTTGGTTTGGTTTTGGGTGTTTTGTTTTGTTTTGTTTTGTTTTGTTTTGTTTTGTTTTGTTTTG